TTTATACTGCATGCACTTCCCTGCTCTAGCTCTTCTAGAGTGCTGCTTGATGTACCTATCATTTTTAAATATATTTTTAAACCTTGCTTTAATACTGTGCTAGGGTTGATTTTTATCCTAAAAGCTTTAGGCCTATAAACAATAAAAACAGGTGTCAGAACCATAGGTACATCCCAATCCATCTTACAATCAGTTTTTATCCCGCAAATGGTCTAAAATTACCACTTATGGAAACCCTGCAGGCATTTTTGAAATCGTTTCCCCGTTTAACCAACTACTCCTAAAAAAGATGAAAAAAAACAATACGTTGCAACACAAATAAACATCCCGATTACCTATAACCTACACTTTACCTTCCTAATCTAACCTTAGATCAAAATACTTAATGGAGCCACGAATACTCATAAACCCCGACCTACCTTCCCCACATGCCTAAATTAGATCAGTGTTCAATCTGCGTTATATTAATATGTGTAATAACTTACTGCACCGTCGATGTAGTTCAACATATAACTTTTGAGTATTATCAGATTAAATAGCGATTTCAATGCGGTTCGATATATCGCTTATTAAATCCTTATTTCCTATCAGCTGGCAACACAAATAGGTGCCCAAGAGTAAGTAGTCACCGGTCCATATCACTCTGCTACTCGTTCCTCAGCAAGCAATTTGACTTGAGATATAGTTCCGTATATTTTTGTAATTTGCAGTGGTTTCCGCGCCTTAAAAAAATGCTTTTAAGGTATTTTTTTGTTTAATAAGATCGTAGAAATGGTTTTTCAATTGTCAATTATTTAAGATGGGGACGCCACTATAGAAGAAAAGTCCAGAAAGTTCAAAATACCGTAGTTTTTGTCATGAATATAGTATAATTTTGTTAGTGCCAAACATGTCTTTATAGTGTGCGATTTTAATATCTGTTTACACAAACGAGTTTGTTTTTCACAATAAGACATAATTGGTAAGTATTTATTTCGTAGGCCAATTATAAAAGCTTACATTGCAGAAAGTTGAGCCTAACTAGAAATCAAAGGTTTTGCATTCTGGAGTAACACCTTCCAGAAGTTATGAGTTGGCATTATCGGAATCAACGGCTTTAACCCAGTAGAGCACAAAACAAAGCCTAGCTGCATTTTTCTGCAATGTATCCAAGCCATCAGAGGGACCTAAAAAGTCAGTAATTACTGCCATGTTGTACTCCTACCACAAAAATCTGCTATACTAATCAAATTGGTTGTACGAAGATAAGTTACTATAGGTTAAAAAAGAAAGATAGATATCCGATTGTTAAGATTTTTTAAACTTTCAGCTCAGAAGGTGATGTTACTTAAGGATAGACACTGCGATCCTCTTATGTTCCTACTTGAAGAGGTTTAAATTTGACAATTTTTAAGTTAGTAAGAATAGCTCAGATACTCACCTTGTCAAAGAATTAATTATTCATTTTACATGTTAGGTAATGTGATGGGTCTCAAGCAAAGGTATACTGTGGATAATATGACAAAGTTTGATCAAAGTTTCACCATGTGACAAAATCTAATATGACACACACTGAGGAAAAGTATATTTCGGGTATGATGACAAACAAGCAAAATTTAAGAGCAGGTAATATGATGGTGTGCAAGCAAAATTTAAGAGCAGGTAATATGATGGTGTGCAAGCAAAAGTACATTAGAGGTATTATTATGGTGTGCAAGCAAAGGTACATTAGTGGTATTATTATGTAAGAAAAATTTTACGGGTAGCATTATGACATGCAAGATAGGGTATGCTACGTTCAATATGTAATCCATGCAAAAATAAAGAGTGGGTAATATAATGGTGTACAAGCAAAAGTACACTACGGGAAATATTGTGTCATGCAAGCAAGAGCACACTACATTCAATATGTCATTCAAGCAAAAATAAAGAGATGGTAATATGATGTTGTGCAAGCAAAAGTACACTGCGGGTAACATAATGTCATGCAAGCAAGGGTACACTATGTTTAATATTATGACATCCAAGCAAAAGTAAAGAGTGGGTAAAATAATGGAGTGCAAGCAAATGTACACGTTTGGTAATATGATAACATTAATGCAATAGTATATTTCTGGTATAAGGTTGAGGTGAAAAAATATTATAAAGTATAAAAAGTACATAGGCCTAATTGTTAACATGATGGATAAATTAACATTAGGCTAGAAAATCATTTTGCAAAAATTAACCATATTTTGTGTCATTGAAAGTGACTATTCAAGAAAATCTTCCATTTTTAAACATCTATAGACCAGAATAAAGTATTTATACAAGTAGCCTACAACATGATGCATGGTAGAGATGCCGCACTCCACTAACTACTCAGATTTGTCAAGAAATCTCTACAACAGGCAACTGAAGACTCAACGGTGCTAACAGTGTCAGTGCTGATGGAAAATGAAGAACGTCAACAGAATGATAGGGAACCAGAAACATCCTCCAGCACAGTGTCCAAGTCCACCTGTAAATAATGTGCATTCTACTAATGTCCTGTAAAAGGTCCTTTATATTATGGGTACACGTCAATCAGTTCCTACTCATAATGGTATATAGGCTTACCTCTAACAAACAGGATGATAGTTTTAAATTTTCTATTTTTTATATACATAGATTTATAGTTTTCAGAACACTGGCAAGAGAACAAATCAAAATTAGGTTTTTGATTTTAATATTACATTTTTTGTAGCTTCTATGAAGGTGTCTAAATCTACATTCTATGAGGCGTTAATTAGTAAATTAAGGTCTCTATTGAGCTCCTGACGCAGCCAAGCGAGCTAGTTAAAATCAGACCAACATTGTGTTTTTTTTTTTTTTTTTTAGCGAATTTCCTTATATATAGAGAAGTAGCTAGTGGTGTCCCCAGAGGCCAAAAACCCTATTGGTTCAAGTATTGTTATATATGTGGGCCCTATGTGTCTGTGAACGGGATTAAGTAATTTTTTACCTGATTTTGATGAAATTTGACTTTAAGTTGTAAGGTGGGATAAACTCGGATGCGTTCCCCAACCATCATGATCAGACCATATGAACGGGGTATGGGGTAAAAATTGGTTTTTTCCATTTTTGACCCTCGAAACAGAAAATTTTGTTATTTCCTTCCAAACTATTTTGAAGATCTTAAAAAACAAATAATTTGGTATATTGAAGTGTTTTTGTATGGTTATTGGTTACGGAGAAAATTTAAAAAAATGTTAACTTAAAATTGCCATGTTATCATTGGATACTGAAGTAGACATCCCATCCACAAGGACCAGCTGCTGCTAATTTTTACTAAAAAAGAATGTGGTTGTCTGAGCTGGTCACAGAGTGTGCTAGTGTCTTAAAAATTTTATTTTCTACCTTATTTTTTAGTTGTTGACATAATTTATGGGTCGTAACAGTAGCTATAGCTCACAATAAGTCGTTCAATCGGCTTGACTTGGTACTTAATAATCTTGATTAGTGCAATCTGTTGGTGGTTCACAACAACTATGACGAATTTGATTAAAACACTGGCAACAACATTAACATGGGGATGGAATGTCTAGTTGTATCAATAGTCAAAGATGTTGTTCTTATCTATCTTATCTACCTATAGAGAATAATTAGGCATAAACTACACAATAAAAGAATTCGTAGCAACAAACATACCGGTAGGCCTACTCATAACATAAAACATAGTAAAACCCAGAAAAATTGAAGAAAACTGACAACTCCCCGATTAAGCGATCGTGGTGAAGGCACCAGAAGCAAGTACCTAAGTAATCTGTTGTAGTTTGCTTATTTATGGATATACTTTGATCAAAATTGGCAGTTATTTATTTTATACTGAACTATTAATATTCAACTAGAAAACACAACTTATTGTCCTCTCTGTAGGAACAAACCCAGCTGGCCTACTAATTAATAAACCTAGAAGGTTAAATACAGTGGATTTAAGTAAAAATATGATCAGGCAAATGGAAATTTGCTTAGTATGCAGGTTTGCTGCGGCATTTACCGTACTTTATCTACTACCATTCAAATATTTTCACCCCGTCCCCCATAGAACAATTAGTCTTGTCATAGGATTCAAAAATGTAGTGAAAGAAAATATATAACTCAAACGCCAACGATAATTTGCGTCTATAAGTTAGGCCTAATTAGATTTATTTTTGTCTCAGTCTTGTCTACCACTACCAATTTAAGTTAAGGGTGCGCTCTACCTCAGCTTGGATTTCTCAATACGAAGTTGTCAAACGCCGATGTCCCTATATACCATTGCATTGAACAGCGCCATGAAGAGCGCTTGTAAGCCTTTCGAGTCTGCGTGATTACATAGTTATCCTTCAACTTTTTAGTAAACTAACTGCAGGTTCTTGTTTTTAAGAATCTATTTCACTTTTCCTGTTTTTTTATTTTTTCTCTGCAAACTATTTTTTGTATGCGTTAAAACTTATGATAAAAAAACGCGTACCGGTAGCCATTTTTACCAAACTTTGAGCCCAACATTTTTAAAATTATCAAAATTTTGAAAATTGGCAAAACTACAATAATATTTAACGAAAAATATGACACCAAGATCTTTTAAATCGGTTCACAATTGGGGCTATAATCAGTAAGAACTAAACCCTTTGCATTCGCGCGCCCCAGACGGGTAGAGCGCACCCTTAATTATAAAGGGTGGATATAAATGTGCGTTTAAGGGGTGGAGAAAGTTTGGAGACAGTGAAAATAACGAGTTCGTCTCTTCTTTGAAAATGTAGCTTAATGCTCAAACAACCTTTTGAGGCATTTGACTGTGTTGACAACAGTTATTCTCATCTCAAAAAGTTAGGCTACAACAATATTACATAGGATAGGCCCAGATCAGTTTGCTATTCCCCTGACAAAATTCCTGCACGGGCCCAAGTACCTTCGTAGAAAACAGCTAACTTAGAGGGAGGAATCTAAGTCTAGATGGCAATACAGCATAACAGTAGGCTACGTATGTAGAAATAAATCATGCATGTGCTTAGGTTTACCTTGATGGCAATTTCCAGGTCTTCCTCTCTCATCTTGATACTGTAAGTTAAACACCACTGACGATGGGCATGTTTTGTTTCTGCAAAGAATAAGACAAATAAAGAATAACACAGTTCATTGATTACCGTAACTTTTTTTAATGTATGGCCTACATTTAAAGCTCATCTTGTCATTGAACCCTTGTAGTCATTGACACCCCATTCAAGTTTTATTGGACTTGATCAATAAACAAGAAAATTTTCGGAACTCACAAAAAAAATCAATGTCAACTGTGAAAATGTAGGCCTAGGTCTATATATATTCACTCTATAAATGTAGAAAATCTCAATAGTGAAAAACTTTGTGTTAACAAATTAAAACCATCACAAGTTTACCTCATGGTCTTTGAGGATGGTTTTCATCGCAATTTTTTGGTCTAGAAATTCATTGGACGAAAACCGTATTTATCTTATTACATTAGTTTTCCTTTTGCGGTAGGTACCGTAGTCGTTAAGTAAGTCAGCTTTTTATACGTGTTTGAGGACTATATAGTTTTAGCTAGATATCTCTATGCGGATATGCTAGGGTTAAGCTGTAACCACGGGTTGCTTAGCAAAGTATGCTACCTAAACTTTGTCCTCTTGCGATAACACCACAATGATTGTGCTTCCAGATAGGCTACATAGAAAGGCAAGATACCAATCTAAGTGGGCCTCTATACAGTAGGTAACTTACAAGTATGTTGGGGCAGTAGCTTCACAACACAACTCACTCATATGTAGGCCAGGCCTACACATACAATTACAAGTCACAACTATGGAGACTGTGGCTAGTCAGGCGATCGGCTCGATGGTTTCCCACACTCATTCCAACATGTGAGGGGGACGGCTTGAGTGGTGGTGCTACCGGACCGACCACCCGACCTGACATATCCATGACAGACTGTTGAATATGTTCGACAAGACGTTGGATCCCGACAGGCTCGACCAACATGTTGGATAGTGTGTGGGAGGCCTAAGTTAGTGTCTATACAGTTCCTAAGGCCCTGTCACAGAGCTGGTTTTCTAGCCGCTAGTAACTATGTATGGTTTTTTTATATATATGGTATGTTTTAAATATATGCACTAAATGGAGGTAGAATATAAAATATAAATGTGTAGACACTCACCAAAAAGTTCCTGAAAGTGCAATTATCCACTATTCTTTCCACACAGGGCCAATACACTAAGAAAACATAGCGTAGACAACCACTAATTTTGACACTAACACTGTGAGCACAACAAACTAACCAATTTTAGGTAGGTAGCCTAGGTAGGCATTACACGTATTTTTGATTTTACACCAAACCAACGAACACACTTAACACAAAAGTAGTTTAGAATGACCGTGTACAGAAACAAAATTACACTTTCAACACTACTTCAACTTCAACAACAAACCGAAACCGCTAAATCGGATGACCCACCAATGAACGAACGAAAGTTGCAACGCAACGCGCGCTGACAACGACAAGTGACAACAAACAACCAACAAACGAATAATGTCGCTTTGCTGCTGTTCAGCTGTTCTCCCAGCAGGAACAGTCAACAATGCCAACAACCAACATTCTGTAAAATCATATGAGAAGGGACGAAAGGAAAGGAGGGAGAAGTGAAATCAAGACTGTGCAGTTCCAAATGAGTCTAGAAGATCGCAGCACTAATCAAGATAAAACCATGGCCTTTTGAATATACAGATAAACCTTGTCCCCAGTAAACAATCAGTACTGTATTGCAACTTAAATTATATTATTTTCTAGGATAGGATTTTATAGGACAGAGGAAATTGCAGTATCTTCCGCAAATGTGGCAATTTCTCTATACACTCATTTTCTGGGAGGCGTGATGTGTAAATACACAAAAAAGTCCGAGGCCCGAGGACATTTCCTTGAGGAATCCACAGCCACGGCCTGGTAGAATTGGCAACGTCGCAAGTGGTGTTGTCTAGCACCAGACGTCCCATAAGATAACATGGCAGACATGTGACATCAGCTCATTTAAAGCTACACACACACACACAACCAGACCAGACCGTCTGGCTGCAACCAGACCGTCTTGGACGGCTCTACACACTCCCAGACCAGACATTCCAACATTCGTAATCAAGACAAAGACACCGTGGTCGATATCTCCAACAAATGGATGAAGACTGTCGCGACGGTCGGCCGTCTTAAGCCCCCCACACACTACCAGACCAGACCGTCTGGTCTGGCGTCTGGCACTTGTCTTATCGTGTGTGGGGCTGTCTGCAGACCGATTTTCTCGGACCAGACTGTCTGCGTGTCTGATGGTTGAACCCTCAGACCACAGACGGTCTGAGGTTCCCCCACCACTATTTTTGTCTGGTCTGTGAGTGTGTTGCGCTGTCTGTCAGACGGCCGACCATCGTGACAGTCTTCATCCATTTGTTGGAGTTCTCACCACGGTCTCTCAATTACGAATGTTAGACCGTCTGGTCTGGGAGTGTGTAGAGCCGTCCAAGACGGTCTGGTTGCAGCCAGACGGTCTGGTCTGGAGGTCTGGTCTGGTAGTGTGTGGGGGGCTTTACAGACAGCAACGCACACTCACAGACCAGACAAAAATAGTGGTGGGGGAACCTCAGACCATCTGTGGTCTGAGGGTTCAGCCATCAGACACGCAGACAGTCTAGTCCGGGGTCTGCAGATAGCCCCACACACGAAAAGACAAGTGCCAGACGCCAGACCAGATGACGCCAGATGACCAGATGTAATGGGGGGCTTTGATTCACACTTTATAGATTCAAATTTAAATTTATGAAGATAAATTTATCAAAATATTGGAAATAAAGCATACAGAATTGAAAACAGAAACAATATTAATTAAAAATCTATATCTGTACATTTTTAAGCGGAGTCAATATTGTTATAGTCCAGTAGCTAATCTTTCTTAAAAACACAAATACCATTAGCTGCTTCCAAACAAAACAGATGTTACAACACCAACACCACTTTGCGACGTTACCACTTCGAAGGCCACGGCCTGCAGTTAAATGTGGCCGTGGGAATCCCACATTCAATTTAATGTTGGTCAGTAGGTACATTGATATTTAATTTGGAAAGTCCTGTTTTGAAGGTAAGATTTTAAAATGAGAAAAATTGAATGGGATGAAAATTGTTAGTATGTTTACTTTAATAAGCCAACGTACCACGCCTTAAACGCTTTTCTAACATCCAAGAAAAGCCAGCTGAGCATGTTTTTCATACATTAACGTAGGCCTATCACATCAAAAACTCTGTGAACCTCATCTGTTCTATATATGATTGTGTTTCCGTCTGAATCCAAACTGATGCACAGGATTACATCGTGATTGCCAATCAGCGCTTGTATTCTTTTCAGAATACGTGTTTCAAATACCGCCTTGGACATTACAGGTAAAAAAACTTCGGTCGGTACTTGGTATGAGCTTACCTGGTCAAGTGATGGCTTCCCATGTTTCGGGATGACTATCAAAAAATCAATTGTGCTCTCTTGAAATTAGATGGTACATGCTCCAGTCTTAAAATTGTATCGAATAACAGCCAATAATATTCCATTCGTGACAACTCTTTGAGTATATTGCCAGTAGGTTGTAACCAGGAGGGCAAATAGGGCAAAGAGCCTCGTCAGAATGAAGATCGCTAATAATGATTGATTTCATTTCCGATGGTTTGAACGTCTTCAATGGGATGTCAAGTTGTAGTTGAGCGTCCAACCAAAATATTCAAGTATCTCTGCCTAGTTGTTTCCTCCATTTGGGTTGAATACATCCTCAAAGTATTGAGCAAAGTCTGCCTTCTCTGTACATTTTGCCCCATCTCCCATCAGATTTTAAAATATGCGAAATTCGAATCATTGGGAGCTCATTCGCTTCGTTGCTCTCTAGAGGGATAATAATCCGTAGATTTCAGGTTAGCTCCGTCCAAAAGGAGTTTTGTTTGGTTTAGTGTTCAAACCGTTTCAAAAGTACCAAATCAAACTATTTATAATAAACAAAACAGTAACCTGCACTCTTGTTTTAGCGAATTTCCCTATAGGGAAGTAGCTATTACCGTAGGTCTCATGGTAAGACCTAAGCCCGGGACCGATTTACTTTTTCATTTTGATGTCCCCAGAGGCCAAAAACACCATTCGTTCAAATTTTTATATCTATATATATATATATATATATGTGTGTCCATCCGCACGATAACTTGAGTAATTTTTGTCCGATTTTGATAAAATTTGGTTTGAAGGTGTAAGGCGGGATAAACTTGAATGAGTTCGCGAACCAGCATGATCGGACTATGGGAACGGGGGTTTATGGGGGGTTTTATGGGGTAAAAATAGGTTTTTCCCATTTTTGACCCTAAAACACGAAATTTCACAATTTCTTTTCAAACCATTTTGTAGAGCTTAAGAAAACAAATAATTTAGTATATTGAAGCGTTATTATGCGCCTAATTGTTACGGAGAAAATTCAAAAAAAATTGTAATTTTGAAATTCCCATGTTATTCTTATGGAGAATAAGTCAACTGTTGTAGTTTGCTTGTTTATAAACATATTTTGATCGAATTTGGAAAATACTTTTATTTCTTACTAAACTATTATCATTTTATAAAAAAAATCTTTTTTACCCTCCCTGTTGCAGCAAACCTAAGTACTCGTTAAACTAATTCTATTTAAATAGGAAATAAATGTGCTATTTTTATGGAGGTATTTTAGTGTAAATCCAATCAGGTTAGTGGAAATTCGCTTAGTCTGCAGGTTTGCTGCGGCGGGGGTATTATAACCAAAAAGTCAATTGCAACAAGTCGTGAAAATTTAAAAAGAGAAAATCATGCATACAATACTAGCGCTTAAACGCAACAAGCAAGAAACATGAGCTTTTAACAGGATTAAATATTGTAGGTGCAATTAGATGAGAGGTATAATATATTTATTTATTTAATAAATCATTATTGAATTTTTTATATTCAAAGACAATATATACACGATTGTTAATATTCCACAGCTTAAAGTATCTGAATCAGTCTGTAGGTTTATATTAATATTTAATCTACGCACTAAGTTAGCTAATGCTGTAACTTATTCCATACCAACTGTATGATACATCCTTAGTTTTGCACTTCCGGATTCCGGAAACTCAATAATTCAATTCATTCGCATTCGCATTCGCATTCGCATTAATCGCATTGAAGCTTGAAGCATTCCATTTTCCATTTCGGTTCGGTCCTAGAATTTGTTTATGCTGTTTGTGGTTGTTGTTACAAGTCCTAAAAGTTTAACATAGGTGTGATTTAGGTGTACGTTTAATCATGAGTAAGTTTAAAATACTCTTCATCCCTTCAATTACCCTAGTTAATTTCTGTAAAATAAGTTAAATCTTCATCTTAGAAATAATAGTCGCCATTTTAGAATAAAAGTAAAGTAGGCTATGGTTATACCTAGGATTAGGAAGGCTTAGCCCAGTTTTATGTTCACTCACTTTCGTGCGCTTTTGTTTGGAATATCATTTATGAACAGAATTACAGTATGTGAATTTAAGTTAGTGCTTGTATGATTTGAATTTTTTTTAAAGCTGAACCTAACTTTTAGAGCATTTTAAGTTAGCCTATTTGTAGGCCTACAAAACAAAACTGGATTTGTTTAAGATCAAGTTGAGAGTTCAAACCCTTAACCTTAGAATGCTCTTGTAATATATGGCTGCACGGCTGCACTTTACTTTAGGTCCTACACTCATTCGAATGAAAATATCGATTATTCGATTGTTTCATTCGATATATCGTTTGGTTGGTTAGATTAGGTTAGGTAACTAACCAAACGATGTATCGAATGAAACTAATCGATATATCGATCGATATTTTTTATTCGAATGAGTGTAGGACCTAAAGTAAAGTGCAGCCTTACTTTACGTCCTACACTCATTTGAATAAAAATATAGATCGATAACTTATATCGATTAAGTTATTCGATATATTGTTTGGTTAGTCAGGTTAGGTTAACCTAACCTAACTAACCAAACAATATGTCAAATAAAACAATTGAATAAGTTAATCAATATTTTCATTAGAATGAGTGTAGGACGTAAAGTTAAGTGCATCTTACTTAATATATTCCAGATTAGTCTTAGGGCCTAAGTTAGGCCTCGTAAAAGTAAACGTAAGTTATTTAACTTATCGTAGAGACTTGTAGGCCTTACTTACTTATCATGGAGTCATAACTTATAACTTAACTTAGGCCTTATCATAGGTCTGCATTCAAGAATATTGGCTTTTCTAAAGGCCTAAGTTAGGAATTTGTAGGTAGGCTTCCGTTTGCAAGACTTAGACTTAACTTATTTGTTTTATAAACATAGCTTACCTAATACCTAACTTAATGTTTTACTGCCAAGATCCTAAACTTAGTCTTCACCTTTTTAGACAGTTTGTCTGAGTATATTAACCTAGGCCCATGTTAATATAGGATAAGAACTTAAACACGTTAGAGGCCTAACTTACGTTCATCCCAACCAAGTAAACTTACCTTTTTAATGGGCCTATAGGCTCACAGTGATTAAGTTACACTCCGTGGAATGTAGGGT